CCCATTTTTCTTTTTCAATATTGAACTCTTCAATCTTTTTGGCCCCTGACTTCAAGTTCAGTAATCAGCTGGTTCATTTCAGATTCAAATCCCTTGAACATGATATTTTTCTCACCTTCAAATTTATCAAAGATGTCATTCTTTATCTCTTCTAAATCTTTGGCTTGATCCCTTTCTCTTTGCATTTCATTCATGATCTCGCGGTGTTCAGCCTTGTGTTTTATAATTCGCTCTCTTCTGTCAACCTCAAAATCTTCCATTTTTTGCTTTCCTTTCTCAAGGCTTTTGAGTAGACGGCTATTCTTTCCTTTCAGATCTTCAACTCGAATTTTCTCGATGTTCAATTCTCTGGTCATCTGTACTGTTGACTGGCTTGGTCCTGATGCTTTCCGGGATTTATATAACTCTTGGTAAATTTTCTTTAATGCTCTAAATTCACCATCAACTTTTTTTCTTTGTTTTCTCTCAACATTGCACATTGTAATGAATGAAAGTCAATATCAACACCCAACATAGCTTTATCTCATCTCATTTGCTCTAATTCTCTTGACCAGCCTTCTCTTTCTGCTTCAAACTCAGGTCTCAGGATTTCAATCTCTGATGGAACCACCTTAATGCGATCTTCCATAGAGATATCCTCATTTTGATCTGGTAGAGGAATATTTTCATTTTTCCTGACAGATCTCCATTCCTCATAATCAGGAGTTAGCATTTCTTTTGCTGCTTTAGCTCGGATACAAAAAGTTATTTTCCAAGCTGTAACGGCTTCCATGATATTTCTTTTATAATTTTTGTTGTGGAATGCGAACTCAGATGAATGTAATCCAGCGGTGACAGGTACAAATTGACGACCTTCATATTGTCTTATGACCAGAAGTGGTGCATATCCAATTCCTCCCCATAATCCGAGCAGCATTATCCAATTGTAATCCCCACATTTGTAAAAGAATTCCCTTTGGATTTGCCACGGGGCTCGCCAAACAATGCCATTGCTTTGCAGATTTCGAAAGGCATTAATCCACATATCTTTCTTAATTTCTTTCGGCCATTCCTGCTCCAGAAATTCTTTTAATGGTGAGTAATCCGTATTAAAACGTCGGTATGAAACCTTTTCTGTCTTCCAGAAATGGCTACGGACCCAAACATATAACAACTGGGTACACCCTGAGAATCGTCCACCTCCTAGCTTTCTACAAACATTTAACGATCTGAAAGTCTCTGCTAGAATTGCAGAAGCAGGATTAATCTTTTTCGGTAGCTGTTCAAACAAATCTACCACTGCAGCTTCAACATATCCCAATACTTTTGGGAAGATGACCATACCATACATACCCAGAGCAAATAGATCGAATCGTACTTTGTCTGGATGACTCTGAATAAGTTCTTTAATGTTGGTCCAAGTAATGCCTTCGCTTTCGCCTTTTTGTTTTGTACTGGATGCCACCCATTCTTCTCGTACCCCGGCAATCTTTGCTAATTTAACTCGAAAGAGTTGAGTTTTAATTGACTTTGAATAGATTCGATTCTCCAAAGCCCCTTCTATATGTAGCAAAGTTGTGTACTCTTCAATAGTAGGGACCAAGTCCTCCATATTGAGAGTGAAGCAATTGTACCCTGGATTCCAGAATTGAATTAGGGCTCTGAGTAATTCATCATCAACTTCGACATAGAGCAAATATGGGATGTCTCCGTAAGTCTGATAAAACTGCAATTTTTTGTTTGAATCTCAACTTTCCCAAATGCTTCGCAAATCTTGCATGTCATTTCTTTTTAGCGAAACTGGAGCATAACTGGCCAAGTCCGATACATAATCATCTTGCAGACTGTCTCCTCCTTGTCTTTGTAAGTCCTCAGCCCATTGTCTTACTTCTGAGTTTAGAATTATTTGATTTGAACACTTTTTATCCATGGATGAAGGCTTTCTAATGAGACAATTAACACGGGGATCAATGCCTTTTATCCTGTATGATGCTATGCAAACAGAAAAAATAAAGAACACACAAAAAGAAATGAATTAGTTTACATAATAAAGAAATTTAATAATAATATCTACATAAATATCTTTATTTAAACATGCTTTTTTAATATTTAAATAGTTTAAACTTTACATGTAATTTAATCAGTAAGAGAATAAATAAATTAAAAGAAAAGTTGGAATTCATTTCTCCTCTGTGTACACCTATTTTGGACAAAATTTCGGCATGGCTTCAGATTGGAAGAGTTTCTAGGGTTTATTATATGCAAGGTTTCAGATCTAAGAATAAAGGTACCCGAATTGTCCTTGTTATTACCCCCTTGGGTTGCTAACCTTCGATCCTAGTCCATCACAGACTAAAGTGGATCGAGTTCAATTCGAGGGGATACATTTCTCTATGACTGACACGGAGAATAAATTCTCACGAAGACATAGAGCATATGAACCCCGAAAGTTACTTGCTAGGTCTGACACGGAGAATAAATTCTCACGAAGACGTCGCTTTCACTCCCACTTAAAAGGGACAAACTCAATTATAGAGCTTTATGTTATGCAATGCAAGTGTTGTGTGTGAGGAGAAATGTTCAAACCTCTGGAAAAAATAAATAAATAAATAAATAATGAAATAAAATACTTGCAAATAAAATGAAATATTAATAAGAAAATATATAAATACTATGAAAATAATAAGTATATAAAAAATTTGAAAAGAAAGAATTATAAATCAAATATATGAATTTTTTAATTTATAATTAATAGAGACAATTTATAATTGATTTTAAAAGTTTGACCATTCCCCAGCAGAGTCGCCAAGCTGTCGTAACCGGTTTTCGTCCGGGCACGAATTTTTTACTTGGCGGGAAAATTGATGTTTATAAATGGTTTTGAAAATAATTTGGGAGTCGCCATCGGCCTTTTGGGTCAGGTAGGTCGAATACCTAAAAATTATTTTTTAAAAGAGTTTTAAGAAAACATCAATTAAAAAATGAACTGATATGCGTTTATAACCAAAAATTCGTTCATTTTAATAATAAAAAGGGATTCGTGATCGGTTACGTTTAGGGAATGATTAGCACCCCTACAACGCCCAAAATTGGTACTTTTTTAATTATAAATTGTCTCTATTATTAAAAATTTAAAATATATTTAATTTATAATCCTATTATTTCAAAATTATATAAAAATATTTATTTATTTAAAAATATCAGAAAAAGACTTCTAGGTGCCTTAAGACAGTTCTTTTCTTTGATATTAATAAATATTAATATAATAATTTAAATAATAATTTTTTATAATGTTTAATTTTTAAAATAGCAGAATAGGACATCCAGTTGTATTAAGACTGGCCTTTTCTTCAATATTGATAAATAAATATTAAAATAATTTATTGAAAAAAATATAAATGATTATTTATCATATTTATTTACATAATAATAATAAAAATATTTAAATATATAAACAAGTAAAATTAAAACAATAAAAATACAATTAGAACGATATATTTAAAAGCAGTAAAATAAATGAAAATATTTAAAATTAGTGACTAAATTATAGTAAAATTAAAATTAAAAACCTAATTCATAATTAATCAAAATTATAGGGATTAAACATACTATTTTTTTATTTATTAATTTAGTGACTAAAATAAAATTATATAAAATTCGGATATTAGATTAAAATAAATTAAAACATACTATTCAGATTAAAATATTAATTATTAAAATTAACGGACTAAATCTGTTATTTACCCTAAATATATTATTTTAATATAAAGGACTAAAATAAATAAAATTAAAATTAAAGATCTGAATTAAAAGGATTATAAACTCGATTTAGTGACTAAAATGTAAAGTTTACAAATTAGACTGACTGCGGAAAGGATTTAACTATTATTTAATTACACGAATAGCCCTCCCCGAAACGACGTCATTCGGGAATGGCTATTTAAAGCCAAATCTGGCTGGCCCTACGGGCCATATCTCATTTCTTTTTTTTTATTTCTCTCTCTAACTGAGAGAGAATAAAAGCTCTCCCTTCTCTCTAGCTTCCCTCATTGGAGGGAAGCCGGTCACCGGACGGCAGCCGTCTGTCGCCGTGATTCTCACCGCCGGCCACCGCATCCGGTGGCCGGAAAATTTTATTTTTACACTATTATGCAGATCGGACCGTCCTAAGGACGGTTCCGGTGCTCTTTTCTCCTAAATAGCTCCCGATCGGAGCAAATCCAAGAAAATACCTTCGGTTTTCGAAGGTTGTTGGTGACGTTTGAAGAGGTCCGGTGGCTTCCTCGGTAAGCTTCTCTCCTTTCTTTTTTTTTCTTTTTTGCTGGTTGTTGTGTTGTTGCTCTTTGTCTTTGTATCTTTTTTTTTCGGTTTCTGTCTCTCTCAGTCTGTTGGTTTTTTTTTCTTTGCAGATGGGGTGATGGCTTTATAGCCATCACCGGTGTGGCCATCGGACCGAGTAAAAGAATGGAGTCTGGTGAGTCACCGGACTTCCAGTGGTGACTCACCGTTGGGATGACATGTGTGCGGCTGGAGTGGCGGCGAGGCTGAAGCAGCGCCGCGTGGTCTTCTGGAAGCTACGGCGGCGCTGGGACGTGTCCCTAGGGTATTGATACCCTAGGGTTTCCTCTGGCAAACTGTGGACCGTTGGATCAAACCAGATCCAACGGCTGAAATTGAGGATGGCGGCTGAAAATGGTGAAACCCTAATCAGTTTAGGGTTTCGATTTAACTAGGCCTGGACCAGTATGGGTTGTAATTGGGCTTGGATTTGGGCTTTGTAATATTAATAAATAATATATTAATAATAATAATTATTATTATTATAATAATAATAATAATAATAATAATAAATTTTAAAATAAAATAAAAAAATTGATGTCTACACATATTATAATGTTAATTATTATTTTTAAATATATAATTAAAAAATATGAATGAATGATTGAAAGTCTTGCTAACATCAGGATATATATTCTCAATTAATTCTCCTCTAGTACTCTCATAATATAAATAAAACAGGTTCAAGGATTTTGATGATAAAAGCAACATATCAACTTCAATGGAGTTTGTTCTCTTACTATGCCTTCTTTCTTTACTGGTTTCTACACCTTCAGCAGATTCAAATGTAAGTCTCAAAATCTCCTCTTCCCATCATAGATAGAGACACTCAAAATTTTAAATTATCATATTTTAGATATATTTTTTATATTTTATATTAATGATCTATTTTCATCTGTTTAGCATCAAATTTTGTGTTCGTATACGTTAAAATTGTGTAATCTAGAGGTCAGTTTATGCAGGACTGGTTAAGCCATGGTGGAAACATACTGAACAGGAGATACGCCAACAATGAACACAAGATAAGACCGGAAACTGTTTCCAAACTGAGATTGAAATGGAAATTCAATGCCGGAAGAGACATCACCGCGACGCCGTCGGTTTTCGATGGAGCAGTTTATTTCCCAAGTTGGGATGGATATCTCTATGCGGTCAAAGAATCCGATGGATCTCTTATTTGGAAACAAAATTTGCAACAGTTGACCGGCATTAATTCTACTGGAGTTATATTCAATGTTAATGTCACAGCTTCAAGAACAACGCCGACCATTGCTGATGATTTGCTGATCATCGGGGTCAGTGGACCGGCTTATGCTGTTGCTGTGAAGCGATCCAATGGGGAGCTTGCTTGGTCAACCCTGCTCGATGCAAACCCAGCTGGTACCATCACCATGTCTGGAACTTACTACAATGGGTTAGTCACTTTATTTTATTAACTTTTTCCATTCAATTTTCAAGATGAATCATTGTTATTTGATACCGCTAGACACAACACAAATAATAGGTGGAAAAAATATAAGGTCTTGTATAATTTTGATTACTAAATGGAAACTTATATAAAGACTTGGAACTCATTAATGCATCTCTTGTATAACAAATTCATTCTCTTAAAATTTGGGATCAAAATCAACAATATCAGGCGAATATATATTTGAAAATAAAACTCAGTGTAATCTAATGACTCGTTCATTTGACTTAAACTCAGGAATTTCTACGTGGGCATATCTTCACAGGAGGAAGAGCTAAGCGTCGAAGAATGTTGCATCTTTCGTGGAAGCTTCGTCAAAATAAACGCAAAAACCGGAAAAATATTGTGGCAAACCTTCATGTTACCCGACAATTTCGGCAATCGTGGCGAATACGCAGGTGCTGCCATTTGGGGCAGCAGTCCACCGATCGACGTCGATAGAAACCTCGTCTACATTGCCACCGGGAATCTCTACTCGGCACCCCAAAACATAACCGATTGCCAAGAGAGACAAAACAATCAAACCCAAGTTCCTCCTACTCATACGGATGAGTGTGTTGAGCCCGATAACCACTCAGATTCATTCCTGGCCCTTGACTTGGACACTGGAAACATCAAGTGGTTCCATCAACTTGGAGGCTATGATGTTTGGTTCTTTGCCTGTAATAATCTTTCCGTTCCCGATTGTCCTCCGGGTCCAAACCCTGATGCTGATTTCGGTGAAGCGCCGATGATGCTACGCATAGACGTGAATGGAACTAAGAAAGACGTTGTTGTTGCAGTACAAAAAAACGGATTTGCATGGGCTTTGGATCGCGATGATGGCAATATTATATGGTCTACTGTAAGTTATCTGACCCCCTTCTTCATCAAGTGATGAAAACAATGATTAAAGTAGTCACATTAACCGGTGACGTAGGAAGCTGGACCTGGTGGTCTCGGCGGAGGCGGAACATGGGGCGCCGCCACAGATGAAAAGAGGGTTTACACCAACATAGCTAACTCCGACGCCATAAATTTCACCCTGAAACCATCTACAAGGAACACTACTGCCGGTGGATGGGTGGCAATGGATGCTAATAATGGACAAATCCTTTGGTCAACGGGCGACCCTAACAATGGTACAGCGAGTGGGCCTGTGACAGTGGCTAATGGGGTCTTTTTTGGTGGTTCAACATACAGGGAAGGACCAGTGTATGCAATGGATGCTAAGAATGGAGAAATTTTATGGTCATATAATACTGGAGCAACTGTTTTCGGTGGGATGTCTGTGAGCGATGGGTGCATTTTCGTTGGCCATGGATATAGGGTTAGTATTGGAAGCTCGAACCCCAATTACACCTCTGGAAATTCACTTTTTGCTTTCTGTATCTTTTAAATCATGATTGAAAGATTAAGAAGAATGTTATTTAATGTGTTAATAATGTATATGTTCGGTGAATAAGACCATGATTCTTCATCGAAAATAAAATTAAGTAAATTTACTTCTAAAAGTTGAATAATAAAATGTTCGTATTTAATTCTCTATGGAGAGATTATCATCGTTGAATATTCGCAAAAGATCAACATAATGGAAAAGTTAATTTTACCTTTACTTGATCAAAGACAATTGTATGCCTTCGTCGTCTGTTGTTATGTAGGGTAATTCGAATATGAATTATTAAATAAGAGAAAAGAGTGTCTTAAATTGAATTAACCGATAAACAATAGTGAGATACAACATTCCGAATCATCTCGAAACAAATCAAGTCAAAAAATATTGATAGGCCATTATAAAGAGCCCATTAAGCACGATAAAACATTTCCTATTTCATACTATCTATTTTTTAATCAATGCTAATGATTTATTTTATACCAATCTTATTTCTTATAAAACGTAAATAAAAATTAAAAGTTGGAGTTAATATATTCATTAGACACCCATGAGTAAAATAGTAAAAGCAATAGCTAGGCAGAAATTTTACGATGTAATCAAAGATCAGAGTGGATGAACAACTAAGCCTGGAACAACCATTTTTTCTTATTTAAACTAGCATAAAATTTCTTGCCTCTTTCTTCCTTGATTTTGGTTTTTTTTCCTTTTCAGCTTTCGACTTTGCCTTCTTTCTGGCATCATCAAGGGCTTGAATCAGGCTCTCCAAACAAGAATCTGGGTCTTTCTTCTCACGTTTTGGCATCAATTTCTCCGCAACATCAGCCGGAGTCATCTCTGTTTCCTTCAACAAAATCCCAACCTTTTCAAACATTTCATGTGAATCAAGATCCAAGTAGTTCTTGGCCAACATCTTGAATGCTTCAAAGCTGCAATATGAAAGCTCGATGTGCATATCCATCCGGCCTCGTCGGATTAGAGCCGGATCGAGTTTGTTTATATGGTTCGTAGTGAATACAAAGATCCTCCCAGTTCCACAAGCTGACCAAGTCCCATCAATGAAATTCAAAAGCCCCGAAAGTGTAACTTTACAGGTGTTATCATTTACAGGGCTCTTCTGATCTTTCTCATTGGTTTTTGATCTTTCTTTCTTCCTTTCACCAGTTACATCTAATGAACAATCAATGTCCTCGATCACAATTATGGACTTACTCGATGTTTCAGTCAATAGCTTCCTAAGCTCGGTATTGTTTTTAACAGTTGTCAGCTCAAGATCATATAGATATCATAGTTCAAGAGGTTAGCCATTGCAGCAATCATGGTAGACTTACCGGTTCCCGGCGGACCGTAAAGGAGATACCCTCGTTTCCATGGCTTCCCGAGCTTCATATAATACTCTTTCGCTTTACTAAAACTCATCAGGTCGTTGATGATTTCCTCCTTTCTCTTGGGATCCATTGCCATTGTTTGAAATGTAGCAGGGTTCTCGAAGGCAATGTCACTCCACAAGTCCTTCTTGTAAGAACTCCAATTATCACTAGGATTGTTCGTATAAAGCCTCCTCTGCTTGTTCCTTGCCTCAATGGCCTTCCCTTGTTCAAGAACATGATCCAAGTATGGCCCCGTGATCAAATCACGATACTGTCGATGGAAGATGAGCTGAAAATACTTGTCCTCTGAAGAACTTGTCGAAGGAGAAGGGTCCAGAATCCACCAAACCTTAACCCCATCAAATTCATCAGACACCTTACGGTCATCCCTTGTAAGAACAAGAGTTTTGCTGTTTTTGATGAGACTACCTTTGAGCAGTGAGGCCTTGGTGGTGGATAAAGCTCCGATGTATGTTTCGATGGCGGTGAAGGCTTGATTGCTCCAATAACTAGAGTATTCAGGGAATGTGATTTGAATATAAGGTGAGAAAAAGCTAACCAAATGATCACATAACTTTTGAACAAAAGAGAACTGTTGAAGTGAGGCGAAGACAAACTGTTGCAAAGAAACTCTAAGTTGGTGGGGGAAGAATTGTTGTAATGTAGCTAAAGTAAACATCAAACCAGCAATGGTTGATCCAATTTGGGCCCATGAATCAATCATGTTTTTTCCCCCCAGACCTTCAGGACACACTATGGGGTTTTAATACAATCTTCTTTGGCTAAGCTGTGTTATATAGTTAAAAAGACCAAAAGGCAGGGGACGGGGGTATTTTGCTTATACTTTTCCTGCAAGCTTCATAAACTTTTCCCCACCATTTTCTTTTAATTTTTTTTTAGTTCTTTTGTGGGTCGCGTTTCATGCAGAAACTGGAGTGTTAGCTTTTGGGAAATGAGTCGTAAGTTTCCATCACTTTGAAAGGGAAGCAGTGACCTCTACCCCACAGTTGCAGACTTGCAGTGCCTTTAGTTTTTAGTTAAATGGGTGTTCATATCATATTCATGATTTTTTTTGTTTTATAAATATTTTCAAGTCATTTTTTATTTTTGTTCTTTGTCTCATATAAACATAGATGTCTATATTTGACCATACTTACCTTATTCATACATAAGAAAAAGGTGGGGGACCAATGGGACAGAACCATTTAAAAGGGATGCTTTTTCTAATATAAATGGATTCTTAAACAATTTATGAAAATGTAAAGATCATTTACTTCTTTTACATAAAAAATCATCTACTTTTTATAATGGGTAATTTCTCTTTTTTGGTTACAAGTAGAAACATTAGAAACCAGTGGATTAATTTTTCCTGGAAGGGCCTCCAGGTCAGAATTGAAAATGCATTGCACCTCCAGGGGAGGTTGAGAGAAACAGTGAAGCTCGTGGTTCTCACGTTGCCCCATACTGGCGAGTCTGTCGGCAAGCCTATTAGCTTCACGGGGGAATGGTTTATCCTAACTTCCCAGGGCCTATTGAGAATATCTAGGATTTTCCAAGTAAGCGTTGATTCAAACGGCCAAGGGGAAAAGTTAAGTCTGCGCGCCACTTCGGTGCTGTCAGTGACTCGGTGTTGAGCTCGAGCAGGTGAATATTATGATTCCATGCGACCTCAAGGCCTATATAACGAAAAATGATAATATTTTTTTTTCAAATGGCAAACTTACTTGACTTATAGGTAAATATTGTAAAAAAAATTAAAGTATTAGGGATTCATAAAAATTATTTAAGAAAATAAACTAATTTTTTTAATGTTTGATAAAATCATTCTTCAATGAATATGACCTTATCAAAGTCATCTGCTGGGGTAAAAAAAATTATTGTCACGTCTCAAAAAATTGACTAATAGTTTTGGGTAAGTTTATTTCGTATCATATTTTATATTAATATTTTAATTATCAATATATGGATGCAATTAAATCTAGGGTAAATGATTATGTGACTATTTAATTATTATTTCTTTTTATTTTGATCATCATTTTTAAAATTTTGTCAATCAAACTTCTTAACTATTTAAGTGTGTCAATCAAGCCATTTGTCATTAATATTTCACGGAGGGAGTAACGTGGTGTTAAAAAAACTCGTGCAATTACATATTTGGTCCTTAATACTTATACATAATGTCAGTTTAGTAATAATTTTAATTCAATTAAATAAATTTAATCTCGAATTAGAAGAATCAAAGGGTCGATCAAACGGTGCCTCCCATTGTCAAACATGCTAAGTTAGTTGGTTTAATGTGTCTTGTTAGCATTCCATTACTATAATAACTAGGGGTGTTCAAACGGTTAATTTGGTCATTGATCGAACCGAATTATCATCAATCTAATTAATCAAACATTTTTCTTTAAATGTTAATCAAGCTAAACTTTTTTTAAATATTAACAGAACCAAAATTTTTTCAGTTAATTCTGTCGGTGAGTTAAATAATCAATTTTTTAATGATTTTTTTAGTTAGAGTAATTTAAGCTTAATAGAGGTATTTTTTTATGTGAATTAAATTTAATTAGGTTTTGATAATTTAATAGGTCGAATGTGGTTAAAAAATAATTGGGTCTTAATTTCTAATGTACTTTAGCTTAAAATATGTACTTATTTATAATATTTAATACTTTTGGTTAATTAATCTATTTTGAATCGAATTAACCGTTAACTGAATATTGGAAAAAAATTAACCATTCTTCGAACTAAACTAGTTCGATGAGTGACGATTTTAACCGAATGAATTAGGTTCATTTGATTAAATTTGAGATTTGAACACCTTAACAATAAGGATTGTTAACGGTGAGTGACTGTTTTGTTATAAATCAATAATGTTAGTGACTAATTTGTTACTTTGGAAACTTTAAAAAGAAAAACAGAAACTTACTCAAACATTAGTGATCATTTATGTAGTGTACCATATAACAAATATATTAATTCAATAATATGAGAAATGACTCATTGGTGGAGGAGTTCATAATTAACCCTTATTAAATATTTATTAAATTAAATAGCTTATAAAAAATTTATAATTAAGCGGTGATATGTGTCATTATTTGATTGGATAATTAAATTAATTAAATTAAATTAGAATTAGAATTAGAATTAGAATTAGAATTAAATTGATTTAATGTGTTAGTAATGGAGATTAAATGTGTAAATATACAAAAAAAAAGTAAGAGAAAATAACCTCAGTGACCAAAAATGTCTTATAATATACGATTTTAACCAACTTTTTTTGGATTCGCCAAAATGACCAACTAAATCGCAATGCGATCGATAATTCGCAACGCGATCTCCGGTATCGCAAATCAGTTTCCAGATTCGCAATGCGATTCTGACTATCGCATTGCGATTTCCCAAATTCGCGTTGCGATTTTCCTAATTCACAGTGCGAATACGTAAATCGCAACGCGATTACGTAAATCGCAATGCGAATTAGGAAAATCGCAATGCGAATACGTAAATCGCAATACGAATCAGACTATCGCAATGCGATTTACATAGCGCCATTCGTATTAACGCGTATTTTTTTTTTCAAATTCCAAACACGAATTTCTTAATATATTGGAAACTGAACCATCCATAGTATATCCC